GTGCCTGCGTCTTTGTCCCCCAAGACTCAGGCTCGTGTGGTAGGGGCTGTCGCCCGGCTACCCGCAGGGGAAGGGCACAAATGAAAATCCCCGCGGGCTACCCATCTCTGTCGGGTGCGGGACCCCTTAGGTCTCCACAGGAGCAAGCGGAGAGACTTCCGGGAGAGGGGACTCCAGACCCCTAATCCACCGGAATCTAATCCTGTGCTAGTCCGAACCCCCATCCTAACCCTGGGGTTGGAGGCTGAAGGGGTCCACCGAGGAAAACGAAGGTCTTAGGGAGTAGGGCTGGCTTCCACAGGCCGGAGGTACACAGGAGGGCGAATCAACTCTGGGAAGGATGTGCGTTTCTTCAAACGGCCGTGGTACAGCCCTCCCCTGACTCCACCCTACCCGTCAGTTATTGAAGGTCCCAGAGGACCACCTGCAGGCCAGGCCAGGATATCTGGAACTCCATCATGTCCCAGGAGAGTAAGGGCCTAGGGCTGTCTTCTCAGCCCAGAGGTCTTCCTGACAATGGTCGAAAGGAGGCCCGGCTGCGTGAGGCCCCATCCTAGTTCCAGTACATACCCTATCAGGGTAACCGGCTGCTGCCCTGAGGGGCCTTAGGAAGCTCACTGAAGGATCCCTCAATCCCTCTCAAAAATGGGCAGATTCCATATTCCTGCAAAATTCCTAATATTTATTGGAGTCTAGGCCTCTTCTCTGGATCCACAACCATGTCCAGCCCAGAATCAGGTCCCCCAAACGTGTTTGGGACCCTGTCCCTTTCATTCTGGTCTACGAAAGCCCCCACACGTGGCCAAAGGACAGCACCCAGACTCTGCTCCTGACCAGTCAGTGTGCAGCAAGCCCACTTCAGTGGGCAGGAGAGTCTACCTCTAGGGGAGAAGGCGCCAGGAGCAGGGAGGTGAGAGGGAGTGTTCAGCAGGGCAGAAAGCCTGCCTTGCTGTATCCAACTGTCATTCCCACTGCAGGCGCTGTGTATGCAGGGCCCGGCAGTAAGCCCAGCTGCCTGCAGCCAGGGCCCAGCGACAGACATCCTCCTTCGGTAGCAGCAGCAGCCTGTCCTCCTCCAGCCGGCTCAGGAGGCCTGCCACACCCAGCATCGTCCCCCCCCACATCCCATAAGTGTTGGCCGTGAAGACAGCTACAATGAGGATGGTCACTGCGACCACCAACAGCATTGCCTGACCAGCCACAGAGCGGCCCTCAGGGCTGAGGTGGCCGCCAGCCACTGCTAGCACCATGCCTCCTCCCAGGAGCAGGTTGGCAGAGGAGCGGTCCCCATTCACCCAGTGGAAATCGAAGGCCAGAAGGGGCAGGCCGATGACGGTGGCCACCCAGGCTCCAGCAAGACAGTCTTCATGTGTGCTCAGCCCTGGGGCCAGCATGATGGTGGCAGCCAAGACCTGGAGCAGGAAGCCAGCAGCAGCCCCTCGACTTGCCTGTCAACACAGGGAAGGGAGAACATGTGGGAAAAAGAGGCCGGGGCCACCCTTTTAAACAGGAAACGGTTTTGGGCTTCCATGGAGACCTGGTCTTAGATGCACTTCCCACCAACCTCTCCCTAATTCAGGAAAGTAGGTCCTTCGGATTTGGGAGGTATGGGGATGTGCCCCTGCTCAGCCCCAGTGTACTCACCTGGGCTGTGCTCACGGCTGCGTGCAGAGACACCACTCCCAGCACCAGATGGGACAGGGCTGTGCTCCACTCGGCCCCCGGCTTGGGGGCCATGGCACCTCAGGCGGTAGTAAGTATGAGGACGCAGATAGGAGATACTCAACTTTGGAGAAAAAAGTGCGAAGCCAGCGACCTGGAGCCCTAAGCGCGGCACTCTAGTACGCCCAGGTTCCAGGGCCCCATTACTGGATGTTAGAAGAGGTTCAGTCTTAGATTTTCCGGATCCCTGAGGCCACTGCACACACCTGTGGAGAATAAGAACCTAATTCAGCCGGGAAACGGGGGAAAACGACTCGGTCTAGGCTGGGGGTACGTGAGCCGTGGGGCCCTGGAGCCCAAGTGGGAGTGCCAGGCTTGGGGAAGAGAGAGCGGCGGGGCGCCGCAGGCCCACGCGGCG